GTTGGAGTTCGTGGGTGGGCTTATATCCAGGAGTTGGGCTGGTTGTGTGGGTACCAGTTGATCGAGCTGGAAGTGGGATTTACTTGTAAACTGCGTGTGTGCTGTATTTGTCGGTGAAATGCATGGGGGTTCCAGGAGCTGAGAGACGACTTGGTGCTGTTAGAGAGTTGTCTGGTGTGAGCGTGGGGTGTCCATGTGGAATACCTCACGGGGTTGTAAGTGGGCTGAGGTGCAGGACATCATGGTGGAGAGGTCTGTGCAGGCTTGAGGGGTCGTCTCCATAGGCCAACCCTGGAACCTTGCAGTTGGAACTTGGCCAAGGTGGAATTTGTACAGATAACCTTGAGTAAACCCACAGCCTGCCAGGGCTGCATCCCTGAGCCCAGATCCCAACTGCCCTGGCCAGCCAAACTTCAGACACCTGACCTCAGAAAGCAGTCCGACTGTTGGTGCTCTCTGAGGACTGGCACCTCTAATCAGTGCCTGTCTCACCTCCTGGTGGCCTGGCTGGGCGGGGAGACCCTTCCCTCGAAAGCCTGGCCTAGCCAGCCCAGTTATCTGGGCTCTGGCCCAAGTTGAGGAAACAAAACCTGGGAAATGCCAGAGCCTCTTGGCCCAGCCTGCTGGGGAACTGTTAAAAGGCTGAGGAGGGGAGGAGTCTTGAGATTCTGGCATCAGCTTGGCCTAGAACTTTTGGTTTTAAAATGTAAATCTCTTTTGCATGTGTGAACAAGAAGTTAGTTAGGCTGAGCAACTGAGTTAGGTTGTGTTTAGGAAAACACCTCTTTCATTTTGAAGTAGGGGCTGAAGCCCAGAGAAGGGAGGAAGGACGTTTGCCCAAGGTGACATAGCCCGGTTGGAGCTACCGGAGCCCCTGCCTTGCTCATTTGTCAGGGCTTTTTTGGAGTTGATTCTGGGACCAGGCCAGGAGCTAGGTCACAAAGGAGAATGTCTGAGAGACAACCTGTAGGGATGTCTCAACACTCTGCAGGGCACACAGTAGGTGCACAGTACATGTTAATTTCATGGATTGCTGTAGGACCATGGTGACTGATAGTTTCCTGACTCCTCACTGGGTCTTGGGAGACCTGGGAGGCAAGATTGTATGGAGTAAGGGTGGGGGAGAAAACTACCTTGGTCCAAACCTCTATATTATATATACGATATCCTAGATGTGAGTATTGTGTGTTTTTCCCCAAAGCAGTTTTATTGAGATATAATTCACATACCATAGAACTTAACAATTTAAAGTGAACAAAACAAGTGGTTTTTAGTATAGTTGAAATTTAAAGAACATGGGTTTGGACTGTGCAGGTCCACTTAAGTGTGGAATATTTTCAATAAATACCTGGCCCTGGCCAGGTAGCTCATCTGTTATACCAAAGGGTTTTGGGTTCGATTCCTGGTCAGGTCTGATCCCAGCTCGGGTGAGTACAGGAGGCAACCAATCAATGTTTCCCTCTCTCCTGCCACCTCCCTTCCACCTTCCCTCCTTCTCTAAAAATCAATAAAAACATATTCTTGGGTAAGGATTAACAAAGTAAATAAAAAAATACCTGTACTGTTTTCATCTGTGGTTTGAAGTCCATGGATACATTGATCTATGCCATTTTTTTAGAGGACTTGAGCATCTGCTGATTTGGGTATCAACCAATCCCCTGTAAATACCAAGGAACAACTAAGTTTTGGGGGAGTCAAAAGTTATTCAGTTTTTCAAGTGTGTGGGGCTTGGCATACCTAACCCCCCCACACTGTTCAAGGGTGAACTGTATATTAACAACTATGCAACCATCACCATCAATTTTAGAACATATTTATCACCTCAGAAAAACTTCCATACCCTTTATCACCTGTCCCCTTCCAGCTATTCTGGACATTTCATTAAAGTGGAATTATATAATGTGTTCCTTGTAATGTGTTTTTTTCATTTAGCATAATATGTTATTAAAAATGTGTCTTTATTGACTTCAGAGAGAAGAAGGGAGAGGAAAGAGAGAAATAGAAACATCAGTCATGAGAGAGTCATTGATCAGCTGCCTCCTGCATGTCCCCCACTGGGGACTGAGCCGGCAAAGTGGGCACGTGCCCTGACTGGGAATCGAACCTCGATCTCCTTGATCGTAGATCGATGCTCAACCACTGAGCCATGCGGGCTGGGCAAGCATATTTTCAAGGTTCATCTGCATTGCAGCATGGATCAGGACTTTTTATGGCTAAATAATATTGCACTGTATGGATGTGATAGACCTCATTTTATTGATAGACACTTGGGTTATTTCCACCGTTCGCTTTTTAAAACGTTTTTATTTATTGATTTGAGAGAGAGAGGAAGGGAGACAGATCAACATCAATTGACTCCTTTATGTGCTCTAATGAATCAAACCCACAACCTTGGCGTATCAGGTAGACTGTCTAACCAACTGAGCTACCTACCCGGCCAGAGCTACACCTCTTGCTATTATGAATAATGTTGCTATAAACATTTGTGTACAAGCTTTTGTGTGGACATAAGTTTTCATTTCTCTTGGGTAGATTACCTACGAGTGAAATTATTGGATCACATGGTAACTATTTAAAAGCTCTAGTATCTTGGGTGGCTTTCTTAATTTCTCTGGTCCTTGGTTTGCTCATCTATAAAATGATAATAGTAGTGTCCCCCTTACAAGGGTTTTGTTAGGATTTAATGAGATAATAAATGCAAAGTGTTCTATACAGAGCATGGAAAAGAGACCTCAGTGGTAACTAATTATTTCTGGTCTGGTACTCCTTATTAATGAACTGCCATTTACAGAGAACACTTTGTAAAGTACATGGTTGTCTAACCACTATGCTATACACCTGAAACTAATACAAAATAGTATTGAATGTAAAGTAACTGAACATTTTTTTCATTTAGTTCATTAGTCATCTCCTGAAACAGAGGCACCTTAGACTCATCCCTTCTAGCTTACCTAGGCTAGGGTATGGCCTGAGACTTTGAGTTGCAATTTCCCCATAGTTCTGTGTTTTGGGCTCTAATAATGGTGTGTTTAGAGACTAGAAAACGGGTGAGAGGCAGTGCATGGTAATAATGTCCCCATCCCCTTTGTCACTTGTTCCAGCTTAGCCCCTAGACATCATGTCAGACAGTGATCTGGGTGAGGAGGAAGGCCTCCTCTCCCTGGCAGGCAAGAGGAAGCGCAGAGGGAACCTGCCCAAGGAGTCGGTGAAGATCCTCCGCGACTGGCTGTACCTGCACCGCTACAACGCCTACCCCTCTGAGCAGGAGAAGCTGAGCCTCTCTGGACAGACCAACCTGTCTGTGCTGCAGGTAAGGAGGGGCAGCAGGAGACCTGGGTTCTAGTCCTATCCCAGCCCTGTCCCTGACTCACTGTGTGGCCTTAGGATGGTCACTTCCCTCTGGGCCTCAGTTTCTTTTCGGCCAGATGAGAACACCCAGTCCCCCTGCCTCAAGGGAGGACAGTGGCATGAGGTCACTGCAGCTAGATTTCAGGTTTTTGAGAGTCCTGAAGAGGCAAGGAATTGTTACTTCTGTCGAGGCGTCTCATTCACATTGGAGGTTGGGGGAAGGTGAGAATGCACTGAGTGTCTGGAGTTCAGCCCCAGCCCCAGAGTGATGCTTGGATGGTGACTTGGTTGCAGGGGACAGCTGATGATCTGCAGTGTGGTTAAAATTGGGTTAGAATAATGGTCAAGGAAAGGGCAGAAGTCAGATTCTGGGTTCAAAACCCAGTTCTGCCACATAGAAGCTGCGGACCACATCTTAATTTCCCCATCTATAAAGTGCGGATCCCAGTCCTCTCCTTCCTGACTGAACTGTTGTGAGGAACAGATTCAGAACTGGATGTGAGTGTGCTTTGAGTAGAGTACATTCAGGAGATTGTTATCCACTTTTTGTCAAAGTGCAAGATATTATCTCCTTTGAATTGCCTCAGTTGCTGACATACAGGTATTTTGTTGTTTTCTTGGTGCTGAGGCAGGACACCCTGGTCTTCCTTGCCTCCAGTTTGCCTCTCACCTACCTGAGACATACAGAGCAGGGCCTCAGCCTAGCAAAGGCCTACCCCCTGCCTCCCTTTCCACCTCTGTCCTTTCCTAGCCATTTCTCCAATCCATGATATGGTTTCTCCCTCCTTCCTTTACTCCATTGTGAACCTCCCAGGTCTTCCTAGCTCCTGTCCCTCCTCCTCGAAGTCTCATGGTGAGTATTTGGTCCTCAGAACTCCTGTCACCTGACTTACCTGCCGGGCAGTGCTTAACTGGAGTCTGCCTGTAAGAAAGGCTCTAGTTTACAGACTCTGATTCAGATCCTGTCTTTTCCACAAGAGGAAGCCTGCACTTTGGCTGTGTCACTGCCTCCTCGCTGAGCCTCGGGTTTCCTCTTCTGAAAAAGGGAGGTGACCGTAGAACTTTGGCAATGTGTAAGGAGGAGGGACTTGAAGAGAGCATCAAGGCTCACTGTGAGCTGTCAGCACAGAGTGGGTGCTTCTACTCCTATTCCTCCTGATCTCTCCTAGGTCATAGGTCTTGGACTGACCCCAGGTGTCTAGCAGTGCGTAGCATCTCACAGTGTACTGCAAAACACTCCACTATGCCCAGCTCTATGCTGAGCAGAGTTGGGGTCCCAGAGAGGAACCAGACTCATTCCTACCCTCAAGGAGGATGCAGTCGGGGATGGAGTAGCAGGAAAGACTTCGCCACTGTTTGCAAGAAGTGATCACTGCTGGGGACAGAAGGCAGCAGAGAGCCAGGGCAGGGCTTCAGAGCTGCTCTGGAGCCTGAGAGCCAGTATTTCTTAGACAGCCTAGCCTCTTTGTTGGTCTTCCTGCCTTCAGCCTTGTTCCTTCAGTCCATTCTCTTGAACACAAAAGTATAAACATGATTGTGTCACATAATCCACAGACCCTATTGACTTCCAGATAGAGTCCACACTCCTTAGGTACTCAGCAATCTCATCTCCGTTCTCTCTGCCCCTGGAGCCCTCTGGGCCTCCAGGCCGCCTCCCTTGGTTTCTTCCTGATCGTTCTGAACCTGGCTCACTCCATTTAAGCATGTTCTTTTGAAAGCATCTCTTGATTCTTCAGGCCTAGGTTCAAGGCCACTGCTATATATCCCACTGTGCCTCATACCTGTGCTGTCAAACCACTGGTCCCACTGTATTGAAATTGCTTTTTGTCAGGGACACTGTTTCTCAAACCTGAGTAATGGACCATCTCCTTTTTTCATTTTTTAAATATATCTTTATTGATTTCAGAGAAAGGAAGGGAGAGGGAGAGAGAGATAGAAACATCAATAATGCGAGAGTTGTCATTGATCGGCTGCCTCCTGCACGCCCCCGACTGGGGATCGAGCAACCCAAGCATGTGCCCTGACCGGGAATCGAACCACGATCTCCTGGATCCTAGGCTGATGCTCAACCGCTGAGCCACACCCAGCCGGGCTGTACCATCTCCTTTTAAAGAAAATATTTTTATTATCACATCATTTAAGTGTGTACAAACTGAAAACTAAGTAAAAATGTCTTGCTTTTGTTCTTATACTCAACTATAAAATAAACAGTTTTCCAAAGTAAGTGAATGTAAAACCAGTGAGATTCCATCTAACTTCATTACTGTAAAATGGGTGGTGGTGTGCTGACTGGGCTGTGGTGTGGAGTATGATAGAGGCACTGACCAGTTAAGCAAGTTTGGGTTTCCACAGGCCACGGTGCACCTGCTTATAATCACAACAGAAACAAAGCCACAGTGTTCTCGTGGGGAACTAGTGGACCCCTAGGGCGGCATATCCCCAGATCCCACTTAGAGAAATGTATGTCTGGGACAAGGATTAGCTGGAGACTTCTGACAAAGGCCTTGCTGGATCCCTGGTCCCTGGTGGGAGGGGTTCCAGTGGCCACCCTGCAGTAGAGTCATGCCAAGAGTTAAAAAGCAGTGGGGACCACCTGGCACTCCTTGATGGAAACTCTACTATGAATCCCCAGCGTACACCTCTCCTTGGAGGTCTCACAGGCCCCTCAAGTTTTCTATCTTGGTCCAAACATTGGCACCCCTCTACTTAAAATTAAAACCCTTCAGTGGTTCCTGCCAACCTAATGACAACATCACCTGTCCCTATCTGCATAGCCAGCTTCATCCCTGGCACCCCTCCATGTTCCTGCCATACTGATAGACACCCCAGACCATTTGCTTCTTCCACCCAACCAGGGAGACTCCTGTGCCTTCCCACAGCGCTCTGACTGACTGGGTCAGCATTTGGACCCTTGACTAAACTCCAGGGGCTGGTCTCATTTATCACTATATCCCAAGTGTTTAGCTCAGTGCCTTGTATCTGGTAGGTGCTCCGGAAATAATTGTTGCAGTGACAGAAAGTGAAGATAAAAGTGTTGGAAATGTCAACCGGCAGGACCTCAGAAGTAAGGAAAGGTGGCTCATCCATCTGGAAAAATGGGCTTAAGTCCCTGGAGGCAACTCTTTTTCCCGTACTTAATTTTTAAGATTTCATTGTTTATTAAAAACATTTGCAAATACTGTATTCACAAAAGAGGATATTCTAATGAACCCCTGGTACCAATCACTTGGCTTCAACAGGCATCAACATTTTGCCAAGGCCTGTTTTCTTCTTTCCCCGGGGACATCTCTTTTGATTGTCTCTTTAACCGCCCAGGAGCTATCTTATTAGCAAGTCAATGAGTCATTTAACTAACTGGTTTGCTGGTACTTGCCCAGGGCTAGGCAAGTGAGACGGTTAGAACCACCACGAAAGTCATTTATGAAGGATTTTTCACAGGTCCCTGTCACCCACCTCAGTCCACTTTATTGCTGTGGTTTTTGACTGGTCTAAGGGCTGTGTTGAGGGGGGAGGTAAGCGTGGTAGGGAGGTTCAGGCCCCATTCCTTCACTCTGTAAGGCCCAGTGCTGTGTGCTGGAAACTCAGAGGTAGAACTGGAACTTCCCAGACCTCAGCTAGCCTCAGGGGAGGGAGGAGAGGAGGGAAGACTTTATTTAAAAGACTAAGAGTTGCATGCAATTAATTTCCAATGTGTGTGCTTTGGAAAGGCTTCTCTCAGGGAGCAGCAGGTGAATGGAGTCCTCACAGACTTGAAGGAATGGGAGGTAGGGTCAGCAGTCCCTCTGGTATGGGAAACCAAACAGGCAAGAAAGGAGCCTGCTGCCCTGGCCAGTTTAGCTCAGTGGTTAGAGCGTCGACCCGCAGACTAAAGGGTCCTGGGTTCGAGTCCGGCCAAGGGCATGTACCTCAGTTGCAGGCTTGATCCCCATCCCTGGTTGGGGTGCATGCAGAGGCAACCAATTAATGTGTTTCTCTCACATCGATCTTTCTCTCTTCCATGCTCTCTGGAAAGCAATGAAAAAGATATCCTCAGGTGAGGATTTTAAAAAAAGAAACAGAAAGGAGCCTACTGTAGAGGTGGCAAGGCGTGGCCTGGCCTGACTCTTGGCAACCGCTTATCCTTTGACGCTACTCTCCTTACTCTGGTGCCAAAGCTGGCTGCCTCTCGATTCTTCCTACCAGCAACCTCTTGTCTCCCCACCTCATGGCCTTTCATCTGTATGTATATTTTTTTGAGCTTCAGCCCACAAGGACAAGTTAAACCAGTGGGTTAAACCATTGGTTCCTATGCCCCAGCGGCAGAACTCTGGGGAACTTAAAAACACATATTCCTGACTCCCCCTCCCTCCCCCACCAGATCTATAAAACAGATGAGAAGTAGCTATTTCTTTCCTTTTCTTCTATATAGAGAGAGAAACACTGATTTGTTGTTCCACTTAGGCATTCATTGGTTGATTCTTGTATTAGGACAGTGCTCTAACCAACCTAGCTACGCGGCCAGGGCCAAAATACCTATTTCTTAAAATCATCCTCAAGGTGATTCTAATACAGCCAGCCTGCCTTTAAGAGCACTCAGATGTGGTAGTCACAACACAAATGGAGATACTGTGAAATTTGGGAAAGGTCTCTCCATGCCTTCACTTCCCTCCCCTCTTTCACAGCTGAAAAGACATTAAGATTAAAGCACTGTGTTGCCTTGTCAAATGCCCTGCTCTGATCCTCATGACCTTCACCTGCTTCCTGGTGCCCCTCCCACTCCCATTTGCCACAGTGATTCCTCCCATGTCCTTCATCTCAGCCACTGATAAAAAATGAAAAAACACTGACAGGGCAATAGCCTTTCAGACAGGGCCTGTTTTATGGTCAGACAGGCTTTCAGGCACCCAGTCTGTGTTTTGCCGTATCAATCACAGAATTCACCTTGGCATTCTCCCTACCACCTCCCCAAGGACCTAGAGTGGGAATGAGTCACATGCTCTTTTCCTGGCTTAGGCATGAGTTGGGCAGCTGGAAGGGGCTACAGAAAATCCCGATAGCCTGTTATCACAGCTGGCATTGGCGGTGCACTCAGGCCTCCTGCGCTTACCCGGTCCCCCCTCAGCTGTGTATTTCTATCGGATGAGAAGACAAAACAGACAGTAGCCTGCCAAGTTTTCTGCAGACCATGGGGAGTGTTGGAGGGGGGGTGGGGTGTCTTTTCTGCTGTTCTCAGAATTAGAAGCCAAAATGGGAGCTGCAGCTTGGGGCTAGATGCCCACACAGCTTCGAGAACATGCCCAGGTTCCCATCCTCAGGACTGCTTTCTCAACAAAGACACTTCGTCCCTACCTCCCTTGACCCTGGTCACTCATCTGTTTCCCCTGCATATAGGGGTAGGTGGAGAGGTACAGTGCTCTTCTGAAGCACTGGTAACTGAGGAGGCAGTTGTAGACAGAGGGATGGAAGCAGCTGAAAAGGAGAAAAGGCCTTAGGCTGATTCTCTCCAGTTCTTTCACCTGCCTGGAAACAGGCTGTCTGGACCAGATCCGTTTGCACTTGTGACCTTGAGCAAGTTACTGAACCTCTGATCAGGGTCTTTTTCTTTTAGGGTTCCAATAAAATGGAGATCCTCACAGAACCTGTCTCAGGCTGCTGAAGGTTAAATGAGTCATTAGACGGGAAATGTTCAGAACAACACCTGATATTTTTTGGTTTAACAAGTGTTTGCTTTTAGAATGATGATAATGGTTACTCAGCCCCCTGCTCTGTTCCTGTTTGGTAAGACACTGTAAAGCAGAGTAAGAAAAGCAGTAGGGGCCTTGAAGCCAGGAGACCTGGGTTTGAATCCCAGCTTTGTTCTCAGAGTCTGTGTGACTTTGGGCAAGTTCTTTCATCTCTTTGAATTCCAGTTTCTCCTTTGGTACTTTGTGACACTGCTCACACCCTTCCAGGGTTAAGTGAGAACACCAGGGGCAGGGTCCTTCCAGGTTGGACTGGAGAAGGGAAAGAAAGAAGGCTCTGGTTCTGCCATGCCCAGGAGCTTTCCCATTCTGACAGAGCCAGGGGCCTAGTACTATCCTTGGATTCCCTGTGGAATGGATGCAGCTGTAGCCTGCTGGGCAGAGACCCATGCCAATTTCAGGCACCAGCTCCTGTCATAGGTGGCTAGCCCTTCAGCTGGGTAGACAGACAAGAGTCCATAGGAAGGTGGTGCCCAAGGGCTTGCCTGGGTGTCGGCCAAGAAAGGTGATAGGCAGAGGTAGAATTGATACAGGACCCCTGAGGAGAGCTGGGCCTTTGATCCATTCAGCAAATGTTAGAGGAATGTTTTGAACAACATGGCACATTGCTGCCGCCCACACAGTTCCCAGCACCCCGGCACACAGAAGGGGCAGGAGAGGGGGTTCCCATCTTTTCTTCCTCCTGGTGCATGCTCTGTAAGTATCTGTGGATAAATTGAGAGAGGACACAGGACTAAGAGAAGGACCTAGAGTGGCATTTAGGTCAAGCCACTGTTTAGGCCTTTTTAGTCTTTTACTGAGGTGTTCTGGCCTAGTGGGATCAGCCCTGCCTGCTTCTGTCAGTTTCTTAAACGATACCCTTTCCTGCCTCAGGACCCTGACATTTGCTGTTCCCTCTGTTTAGAACATTCTTCCCTCAGCTTTCTATACGGCTGGCTTATCCTTCAGGTCGCAGCCTTTCCAGACCCCTTATCTACGGAAGTCTCTTATCTTTATATGCTACCCTTTTTTTCATGTCCGTTTCCTCCCTGGTACCTATTGGTGCCTATTCACTGTATTTGTTCATTGCCAGTCTCCACAACCAGATGGACTAGAAGTGCCACAGGGCAGAGTGCATGTCCGTTTAATTCACAGAGGGATCACCAGCACCAAGAACTATGCACATAGTAAGTGCTCAATAAGTATTGTTTGAGTGAGCACGAAGCCTTGAAAAGGAGAGCAATAGGAAAGTGAGAAGTTCTAACCTGTTTTGATGAACAAAAGATGCTGGGCTCTGAGGCTCTGTGACAGCCTGAGAGAGATTCAGACAGGAGGGGCTCCTGCTCCTCCAGATTCAAAGGCCAAACCGACAGAAGCTTGGGGATCCCTGGCCAGAGGTGGACTTCTGCCTGACTTCTCCAGGCTGAACTTTACGAATGTTCAACAGTAAAATGGGAATTGATCATAGTCAGAGCTGATGTAACTATGAAAAGAAAATTGTGTAGATGTTCAGGGCTCAGTAAATGGCAGCTATCGGTAAAATCACAGCGAAAGCTCCCAGAAAGGTGCCCATACCTGTGGATACCTACCAGGCCACACCCACCATGCCCAGCCTTAATATCCACAGTTTCTAACGTTTCTTCTCACCTACTACTTCTGAGATAGCAAGAATGGTATTAGGCAGCTTTTCCCCTTTGGTGGCCCCTCCAGTGGAGGGCAAGAGGGACAAGGACTTGAAAAAAATGGTAGGGGGTTGTATTTGCCTGCTTAAAGGAAGGGTTAATGTTTTTAAAACAGATTTGTTTTTATGACCTTACACCAGCCATGCAGCTAAGAAACTGTTTCCTAGTCTCATACATACCTTTAAAAATAATGCTCAGGTGAGCTCTTGTAGGATCCGTCTTGCCACATTTCCAAGCCATTAGGAATAAATGAGAGAAAAGAGGGTATGAGTGGTCTTTTTTAGATGGTCAAGGATGCCACATTTAGGTGCCTGCTGCTCTCCTGTGTGCAGAAACTATTCACACTTTTCCTGAACAGCTGTCTACCCTCACGGTGTCATTCATCCGTATATGAAAAGAAACTGCCAGGCCCTATACCAGCTGTAGGCGAACAGAGAGGTGTTTTGAATCCATTTCCTCTCCTCTGGCCCTATTGCTGATACCATAGATCAGCCAAGACTTGGAGGAGTAGCCAGCCATTCTCAGGTGGAAAAGAGGACACTTCAGAAAGAAGAAATGTCATGTGCAAAAGGCATCATGGAGCTATTTAAAAAACCCCCCAAAACACAGAGTCTGATGAAGGGCTGGTGAGCAATTTCATGCTGAAGACTAATACAAGGGCTGGAAATAGAGGCCATGACTGATGGGAGGGTTTAACACCAGGCTCGGGTGTCTAGACTTGACCCTGTAGGCTGTAGGAGACAAATGGCAGTTTTCTAGAACAGGAGTAACAGTCATTGCATTTTAGAAAGAGAAGTGACAACCTGCGGAGAGGCTGGGTGGGAGAGCCATGAAGCTGTTAAAAAGAATCCAGGCAGACGTGGTCAGGGTGCTAGATGTGTCCTGGCTTTGCAGCATAACACTTAACAGTGAGAAATTTCATGCCTCATGCATAGGTCTAAAAAGATTGATCTAAACCGTGAATTAGATGGGAATATGGGGTAAAGGTTAAATGGTAGCTTTCTGAGCAGCGTGTTTGAAAAAAGACTTAAGGTTGTTGGCTGAACACACATTCAAATGGAGCCACTGATCCAGTTGAAACAGTAATTTTCTCCTATATGACAGTCCCTGGTGTCTTTATGGCCTGCAGCAAGACTCTGCTCTAGAAATTTAGGAGTGAATCACCTTGGCACCATTACCTCTCTCCTTCTACACCCATGTTCAACTGGGCACCAGGTCCTTTCGTTTCCAATTTCCCAAATAGATCAAACAGTTGTCAACTTGACACCTCCTGTAATGTAACCTTTCTACCTGCTTCCACTGTTTTCCACGTAGCAAGTTGCTCCTTTGCTTAAAACCCTCCTACACTTCCCATCACCCTTAGAATAAAGAGCTAAACCCCCATCATAGAGGCAACTTCTAGTTACCACTCTGAGCTCCAGCCATGTAGACCTGCCTTCTCGGAGTTCCTCATCGGCACTCTGCTTCCACCTCCTACAGGGCCTTTTCAGAGGCTGATGCCCCTAAATCGAAAGTTCCTCTCCCCACCTCCCACCTAAACTACTACTCATCCTTCAGATCTCAATTTAGGAGCCATTTCCTCGGAGAATACCACCCTGAGTCCACAAAGATTAGATTGGCCTTTCCATTATTGTCTCCCAACAGCACGCCATTGTACCTTGCCTTCATTGGCGGAGTCACTGTTGCAATTTTATATTTATTTGTATGATTTCTTCTTTAGCCTCTCTGAGGACTAGGATTGTGTGTATGTTGTTTGCTGCTGTATTTTGGGGCCTAACATAGGTGCTTCATAGCTGGTTTTGATTTAGTGAACTGATCGCAGTCTCTTCCCCTCATTCCAGATATGTAACTGGTTCATCAACGCTCGGCGGCGGCTTCTCCCAGACATGCTTCGGAAGGATGGCCAAGACCCCAACCAGTATACCATATCCCGCCGCGGGGGCAAGGCCTCAGATGTGGCCCTCCCCCGTGGCAGCAGCCCCTCGGTGCTGGCTGTGTCTGTACCGGCCCCCACCAATGTGCTCTCCTTGTCTGTGTGCTCCATGCCGCTCCACTCAGGCCAGGGGGAAAAGCCAGCAGCCCCCTTCCCACAAGGGGAGGTGGAGCCCCCCAAACCCCTGGTGACCCCTGGTAACACACTCACCCTGCTGACCAGGGCTGAAACTGGAAGCCCCACTGGTGGACTCTTCAACACACCACCACCCACTCCCCCAGAGCAGGACAAGGAGGACTTCAGCAGCTTCCAGCTGCTGGTGGAGGTGGCGCTGCAGAGGGCTGCTGAGATGGAGCTTCAGAAGCAGCAGGACCCGTCGCTGCCATTACTGCACACTCCCATCCCCTTGGTCTCTGAAAACCCCAAGTAGGCATCTGCCAACAGGGTGCTCGAACCTCGAGCCAGCTGTCCTGGGTTTCTGTTTTGGTTCCCTTTCATACAGAGGGTTTTCTTTGGATCACTGCCAAACATCAGGATCATCTCCTCTGTCCAGGGTCTTCAGCAGGAAGACGCTAGCTGGTGTCACTGCACTGTGATGGGGACCTCTCCTCTGCTGACTGCCGTTTCTCCAGGCCTCTTCAAGTGATGAGACCAAGAGAGCGGAAACAGGCATGGTGCTGCTGCTACTTCTCCAGAGAATCTGCAGGACACCTTTGTTCCAGCCTGCTTTCCTGGGCTGGACACAGGAAACCTGCCAAGTTCAGACCTATGCTGGGTCCTAGTTGCCCCTGAGCCAGACACTTTATTAAGCAAAGTGTGGACATTCCAAGTTCATAAGTGTGAACAAAACAAAAGAGGAACCCAGTAGATACAACAGAACCGACTCCAGTTGAATGTTCAGGTTTTTGCTAACCTTGGTGTTCATTTCTCCCTTTTTGCTGTGGTTTGCGTTCATGGGGGCAGCCCAGGTGTGGGGATCAGAGTGCATTGCATGATGACCTGGGAAAGAGCCACCCGCAACAGGTGATTATTTTGCAAGGAAGGAGTATTTTTGTTTGGGGGACCAGCTAAATCTCTGCAGAATTCCAAATAGTTGTTTTATTGTTGGTTTGGTTTACCAAAAAAAGGAGGAAAAATACTTTTACAGGCTCTGGCTTTTCCGTATCAGGCACAGGAGGCTGATAAAGCCAAAGCCGACGAGCGGGCACAACAGGGAATCTGACCAAACCTCCTAGGCGCGGGGCAGAGAAGGGTGATTAAACCGGAGAGGTGTTTTTTTTCTATTTTTGTTTTTACTGTGCTTTTGGGGGGGTGGGAGAAATAAGCTAGACTGAAGCAGTAGGGTCTTTGTTTTTTCTCATTAATGTTTTCCCCTTCTTTATCCGTGAAAGTTTTGCCCGGAGGCCTGAGTTTTGGATTCCTTTAGGAACTTGGATTAGTGGGGCCAGAATGTCAAAAGCTCCATCTACTGGCAGCTTTTCCCACTATGGGGGCAGGAAACTATTTCTGGAGGAAGCAGGGAATATAGTGCCCCCAGCTGCCTGAGGAACTGTCTTCAGAGGAGGCTGGGGCGGGAATTATGCAGCCTGTTCACCGGGACTGTCTTTGTGTTGCACCTTTCCTTAAATTGGAGTTGCAGAGGCCCCTGCCCTGAACTTCACTGCGAAACAGGTCACAATTGGTCTTGTTCTCCTCCCTCCCCATTTTTTATTTTGCTATTTCATTGCTGACAGCGTTCAACAGCAGTATACCCCATCTTTATATATCCTAAGAAACACTAATTCTAGGTTATTATTAGCCAAAATATTTTTGTTCTGAATGACATTGTTACTGGGCCAAAAGACAGGTCAGGAGCCCCAGCCTGTAGTTTCCTGAAGTTGCCAGGTCAGGCACAAGGGGGAGAGTTACTGGGTGTTGACTGACTTGGTTAGGTCTGCCCAGGAGAAAAGGCAGAAACAGGTGTTCTGTCCTTTCTGGGATGATCCCTGAAGACTGCAGGGAGGTACCCTCACTTCCGAGTGGCTCGGCACACCTATTGCTGTGGGAGTGGGGATTGGTATTTACGAAGAAGGAGCTTTATCTGAGTGGGCAGGTTTCCTAAAGCTCTATCTTTTGCCTCCTCCCTCCTCCTGTGCCCTCTCCTTGCATGCCCTGGGAGGGTGGGAAGGGGATCAGGGATCCTCACCCTCCTGAGGCCCAGCTAGGGAAGAATGAACGTGAACATGGCAGCTTCAAGATTAGTTGAAGCTGCTGTTTGCCCGGCCTCTTCCACCCCACCCATGTCTGTGAGCCCAGGTCTGGTGTGACTGTTGCAAGACACTTGTAGCAGGGGACTCTGGAAGTGTATTGGGCTGGGGTGGGACTTTTCCTTCCAACAATGCACTGAGCAATGGAGGTGGTGAGCGGTGCGGGAGCCATGCTGCTGAATTCTAGTTGGCATTCCCCCCTCCCCCTTGTGCGAGATAGGGAGGCTGGGGGTGGGGCAGCCTCTGCTTAGTTTGGTTGTGAGGTAAACCTGGAGGAGAAGCACAATTATCCCATTGAAATAATTGAGCAGAAAACTACTGTAAATAAGTTTCATTTTTGTCAAATAAAGTTGTTTTGGGTTTTGTTTTGTTTTTGTTTTTCAAGCAGAAACAGATTGACCCACTGTGACCCTGGGCCCAGCCTGGAGATGGAGCAACTGCTGAGTTCTTGCTCTGCATTACCTTTCACCCTCCCTCTCGTAGCCACCTGAAGCGTACACTCTGCAGCCTGACTTCCTTGGCCTCAACCCTGTTCCATGTCCCATTCATCAGTGTGCAGGGAGCACATGCATCCCCAGCTGGACCAGTCTTCCTGGGATCAGAAGTGAGCTTTGGGTTTGCTAAGTAGTGAGGGCACTGAGGGAGCTGGCAGCTTTTCCCTCTCCCTCTCCCAGTGAGAAAGGAGCATGGCTGCAGTATGAAGCCAGCACAAAAGCAGAGGTGAGATGGATGCTGCAGTCCTATCTGAAACCAGTACCACCTCTGGACTTCCCCATTACGTAAGCTGGTAAACTCCCCTTTAAAATATATATATATATATATATATATATATTGATTTCAGAGAGGAAAGGGGAGGGAGAGAGAGAGAAACATCAATGATGAGAGTGTCATTGATCGACTGCCTCCTGCACGCCCCCGACTGGGGATTGAGCCTGCAACCAGGGCATGTGCCCTGACCAGGAATCAAACCCCAATCACCTGGATCCTAGGTGGACGCTCAACCGCTGAGCCATGCTCAGCCGGGCAAATTCCCCTTTCTAAAAAAGCTAGCCGGGGGTTGCATTTATGTCAGAGCAATAATGACTATACATAGTGATTGCAGCCCAAACAGTACAAAATCTGCAACAGTAGTTAACAGTCTTGCTATGTGCATGGGGCTGCACTGTTCATTCTCTCTCAATTTCTACACAAGAAGCGAGATGCCCTTCTCACAGGTAAAGAAACAGGACTTGTTATTTGCTGATTCTAAGTGGAGCTAAGAGATGAATTCAGGTGTTTGAAGGTCACCTTGAGGTCTACCCAGACTTATTTGAACTAGTGATGGGCAGTTCACAGCCTACTGGCATCCAGCTGTCTAACATGGTTGGGGCTAAGCACTGAAAGTTTCTTCTATTGAACCAAATTGGCTTCTTCCTAATTTCTCCCTATTACACCTGGATGAAGGGTATCAAATCTCCCACAGGTCATGCTCCTTTAGGAATTTGGAGACAACTTCCCTGCTCAAGTTCCCAAGATGAAAGAGCCCCAATTTAGCCATTCATTGGCCCAAGGTCCTGATTTTCCCACTCCACTCTGTCAGTACCCCTCAAACTGGACACTTGTTCCTGGGGCTTGGCAGAATAGGAACATGATGGAAGGGCTCTTCAAAGTAAATTTCATACTCGTTTTACATCTGGGAGACAATATTCCCACAAAGGGGGAAGTGATTTGAGTGGTTCAACTGCCTCAGGAGACATGGCCTAGAAGTTCAAAGAACTGAAACCAAAAGTGTCTTCTGGATTGAGCTTCAAATTGATGAGCTCTGGCCAGTTTTTGGAGGAACAAAATGTATGTAAAACATTTAGCAAAGCTGACACCTACTAAGGGCTCAAAGTGCTAGTAAAACATTTACTGTAGGCCAAAAGAAAAGAGAACCAGGATACAAACTCAGACCTCTCTACCTCACAACAGGTGCTCTTTCCATGGCTTACGGTTTTCCTTCCAGAACTGATTTCTGTGATTCCATCTGTGTCTGTCTGGGTCGGTAACCTTACCTCTCAGAGCACACCTTCCTCTCCAAACACTACCACCAGCAGCTGGCAGTAGTGTCAAGGCATTCGGCTGGGAAGACATACAGGCACACCTCATTTCATTGCACTTGGCTTTATTGAGCTTCACAGATGCTGTGTTTATTACAAATTGAAGGCAAGACCCTCCACTAGCAAAAAGATTACAACTCATTTTGATGTAGTGGTCTGGAACAAGATCTCAGGGCTATGTCTACACTCACCCCTGAGGCTGAGATCATGTGTTTGATGGTGCTAGAAAGCCCCAAACTGACAAGTATAAATTTGTCCTAACTTCAAATCTCCCACTTCCAAATCTGACTACGTCAAGTTCTTTTCCATATTAGATCACCCAGGATGTTTATTTTAACCAGATGGATGCACTGGGATTCAGCCAGATTCCTTACTTCCTAAGAAGGAAAACCTGGGGTGAAAGCAAAAAGGGAACAAGGTGCAGTTCCACAGATGACCTTTGAGGCAAGGGCTCTCCACCATAGCTCCCCCGTTTGACTTTTTCTGCCCCTAGAAAGCTAAGAGAGGAACACAGATCATGTTTTGATGCCTGTTGAACCTCTAACTTGCTGTGTGACCTTGGGCTGGAGTGCAGAATCTGAGGACCCTTCCATATATGACTTTCTGTGACACCCTCCTCTCCTCCCATGTAAACACAAATTTAATGAATCTCAGAGTTAAGGTCAGAGCTTCATGATATAATACAATGTAACATATAAAGAATTAACTCTTTATGATCTCTGTAGATATGATCATAGATATAGAAAACCCTAAAGAATCCACAAACACACACAAACTGTTAAACTGATAAATGGATTCAGCAAAGTTTCAGGATACAAAATCAGCTATACAATAACAGTCCAAAATAGAAATTAAAAAATAATTTTATTTAAAATATTAGCCCAGCTGGTGTGGCTCAGTGGACTGAGTGTCGTCCCATGCACCAAGAGGTCACTGGTTTGACTCCTGGTCAGGGCACATGCCAGGGTTCCTGGTTTGATCCCCAGTAGGGGGCGTGCAGGAGGGAGCCATCTGATGTTTCTTATCAATGTTTCTATCGCTCCCTCTCCCTTTCTCAAAAAATCAATAAATACATATTTTTAAAAATAAAAATTAAAAACAAAATAGCACCAAAAAGAAAAAAATAAGAATTAACCAAGGAAGTGAAAGTCATATATACTGAAAACTACAAAACATCACTGAGCAACACTGAAGAAGATACAAATAAATGTAAAAACATCTTGTGTGCACAGACTGGACGACTGGATGTTGCTAAGATGTCAGTACCACCCAAAGCGATCTATTGGTTCATTGCAATCGCTGTCAAAATCCCTGTGACTTTTTTTTTGCAGAAATAAAAAAACTCATCCTAAAATTCTTACAGAATCTTAAGGAACCCCCCACAAAACCAAAACAATTTGAAAAAGGAGAACAAAGTTATAGGACTCACACTTCCTGATTTCAAAACATACTACAAAGCTATGTTAATCAAAACTGTGAGGAACTGGTGTAAGGACAGATACACCAATGGAATAGAACAGACAGCCCTGAAATGAACCCTCACACATATGGTCAAATTGAAACAGCACACGAATCACCTGAACCGCTTAAAATTGGTTCTGCTCCCTTAAAGCAGATCCATGATTAATACAACCCTTGAGTTACTTTACAGAGAGTGCACTGCACACTGTCCTCCAGCTGCACCCAGAACCAAAGGACTGGACATGACAGGAACTTGAACACTGGAATCTTACCGTAAGTGGTCAAGTTCCAAGATCCTAATTAGAACGTGTTCCTAACCCCTTAAAAACCTTCCCTGAACGCTGGATCAGAGAGACTGATTTGAGCCTTGTCTCCGGTCTCCTTGTCTGCCTGCCTGTTATAAAAATAGTCAAGGGGATGTAAAGTACGGCATAGGGGATGTAGTCAATAATATTGTAATAACTATGTATGATGCCAGAGGGGTACTAGACTTATCAGGATAATCACTTCATAAGGAATATAAATGTCTAATCAATATGTTGTACACTTGAAAAGAATATAATATTGTATGTCAACTATAACTGAAAAATAAATTTAAAAAACTCAAAATGGATCAAAGACCTAAATATAAGAGCTAAAACTATAAAACTCTGAGAAGAAAACAGAAGAAAAGCTTGATGACATTGGATATGGCAATGATTTCTTGTACATGACACCAAAGGCATAGGCAACAATAAAAAATTACACAAAATGGACTTCATCAAAATTAAAAGCTTTGGTGTATAAAAAGACACTTATCAACAGAGTAAAAAGGGAATCCACAGAATGAGAGAAAGTATTTGCAAATTACATATATGATAAGGGATTAATACCCAGAATATACACAGAACTGCTAAAACTCAACAAAAAACACACACCAAACGACCAGACTCAAAAGTGGGCAAAAGTGTGGAACAGACATTTCTCCAGATATACAAATGGGTAACAAGCACATGAAAAGCTGCTCAACATCACTAGTCAGTAATGAAATGAAAATCAAAACCACAATGAGATACCACTTCACAGCGCTTATTTTAAAAATAAAAACAAGTGTTGGCAAGAATGTGGAGAAACTGGAACTCTTGTGCACCGTTGATAGGAATTTTTTTTTTAATATTTACTAGTTTGCCTTTTTTAAAAAAATATATCTTTATTGATTTCAGAGAGAGGAAGGAAGAGGGAGAGAGAGAGACAGAAACATCAACGATGAGAGTGTCACTGATCAGCTGCCTCCTGCACGCCTTCCACTGGGGATGGAGCCCGCAACCTGGGCATGTGCCCTGACCAGGGATGGAACATGGGTCTCCTGGATCATAAGTCAATGCTCAACCACTGAGCCATGCCCAGCAGGGTTGTTAGTGGGAATTTAAATGGTACAGCTGCTATAGAAAACAGTACCTCATAAGTACCTCATAAGAGTGGGTTCACACAGTATTTGCCCTCTTCTGAAAAAATTAAAAATTAAACTGTCATATGATACAGCAATTCAACTCTGGGTTGAATTAAAAGCAGGGACATGACAGATATTTGTACACCAGTGTACATAGACACATTATTCACAGTAGCAAAAAGGTCGAAGTAGCCCAAGTGTCACTCAGTAGATGAATGGATAAGCAAAAGGTGGTATATACATACAATGGACATTTAACAAAATTTAACAAAGTTGTTACTCAGCCTTAAAAAGGAAATTCTGACACATGGTATGACATGAATGAACATTGAAGATGTTATGCTAAGTGAAAGAAGCCATTCAGAAGAGGGCAAATACTGTGTGAACCCACTCTTATGAGGTACTTAGTCAAATTCAGAGACAGCAAGTAGAATGGTCATTGCTGGGGGCTGGGGCTGGGGAAAATGGGGAGTTAATGAATGGTTCTGAAAATGGATGGTAGTGATGGCTGCAAAATACAATGAATATACTTCACTGTGCATTTTAAGTGTATTTAAGTGAATATACTTAAAATTGGTAAATTTTGTTATATTTTACAGCAACTTAAAGATTTTTTTAACATTAAAAAAAATTAACTCCATTTTATTCCAATTTTCTCCATCTTCAGTGCCCCACTAAATCTCACTTGGAGAACTTTCAGTCTTTAGTCTCCCATTCTCGTCCAGTCCTCCAAATAGGAGCCAGAGTGATCTGCCTTAAGATGCAAACATGGCCCTGGCCAGTTTGACTCAGTGGTTAGAGTGTCGGCGGGAGGACTGAAGAGTCCCGGGTTCGATTCAGGCCAAGGGCAAGCACCCCAGTTGCAGGCTTAATCCCTGGCCCTGGCTGGGGCCTGTTAAGGAGGCAACCAATTGATGTGTCTCTGTCACATCAATGTCTCTCTCTCTCTCCCTTTGACTCTCTGAAAATCAATAGAAAAAATACCCTCAGGTGAGGATTAAAGAAACAGGTGCAAACCTGAAAAGTGAATTCCTTTCCGTGATTTCCTCCTCCCCCTTTGGATAAAAACAAATTCCTCGGCATGACCCTCTTTTCTTCATTTGTGGCTTTATCCCTTACCATTAACCCCCATGGTTTTATCTTCTGAAATGCTCTCTTCCCTTCCCCTTCTCAACTCCTACTTTTCTTTCAGAGCTGTCTTCCTTAACTCCCCATTACAAACCTTTACCATCAAACCCAGCCGACTGAACACTTACCGTTTTTGTCTTTGGCCATGGGCAGGACGGTCTCCCAACATTCTCTGATAGAGTGTTCAGTTGTCTCCAGTACTGCATGCCACCAGGGAGCCTGTAAAAGAAGTTTTCTACTGTTGGTACACTTCCCAGCTGGAGTTGGCTGGTTGGGCTTCACCACAGTTTGCATATGGGAGGGAACGGGTTCAGAAAAGGGGCAGAACCAAAAAGAACAAGACCCAGGGGAAAGTAAGGACGAAAGGTGTACACCCATGTCAGCTATATGGCCCTCCCACCCGCTCCAGACTGAGTAATGTCTATTGCTACATATAGCACCTTTGGGGTCCAGCCCCACTCGACCTACTCAAACAGGACCTTGGGGCTCGACTGTGGTGGAAAACACCAGCTACAGAATTCTGAAAAGGCTCTCTAGGAGATCCTGCTGCTCACCTCGGGTGGAAAACTACAGTGAATGCGCACAGGTACGCAAAGGCTCCGACCTTATTGTTATTAAGACCTAAAGCTTAAGGCTTAAAGTACAAATTTTGGATCAAACCCAGGTTTGACTGATTGATTCAATCAATCAGCTGAGTGATTCCGGGCAACTTACTCCGCTCCATAAACCCCCGCACAGAAGCGCCGCGCCCCGGCCGCGCTCACTACGAGCGCAGGTCCCGCGCCGCCCGCGGGGCTCGCGGAGACGCTCGTTACCGGCCCCGCCCCCAGGGTTTCGGCTGGAGTCGGAGAATTCACATCTCCCGTCGAGGCTCCAGGTGAGGCGGCTGCTGCCGGTGCAGAAACCCGCTTTGTGAGCCACTGACCCAGCACAGGCTGAGGACACCACAGATACTCTGACACCTAATAAAGTATATTCTCCGCTTCAACTCCGCGAGGAGTCCTCGGCTGGTTCCGACTTGCTGTAGAAAATCATTTCTCCTCTGCAGGTCTCAGGACTCGCTGCCAAAAGAGGGTGCTGGGTGGGATGAGACATTGAATTAGTACAGAAGAGAGTCAACATCCTGAAGGAGGCCCTACGGGACTTGCAGAGTTAGGGGAGAAAGCGAGCATGGACAGTCTGGGGCTCCTGGGGCGCAAAGCCTGGGCCAGAAAGGACGCCTCCGGAAAGGCAGGGTAGTGTTCTGCCCCGCTGCCCAAAGGGACGAGCTGTGGCGAGCTGCGCGGCGCTCAGGGCCAACCTCCGCTTTCGCTTCAGACGCTGTTCAGTCTCCACAGCGCCGCCTCGCGCTCGTATCGTCCTCGCCCCCAAGATTGTCCCTTCCCTCTCACCCTACCTCTCACCTACCTCGCGCTTGGCCGAAGCTTGTCGTCACTTCCGTCATGCGTAGAGCGCTTGCGCTAAGACCACGGGCACTTTTTTCACTCGGACCACTGCACGCCCTCCGATTGGCTGCGTGGGCACGTCGGCGGGAGGACGCTCGGCGCTGCGTTGCTCCTCCCTCCACGGCACCTGGTCTCGGCGGAGCGAGTTGAGCCGGGCTGCTTGGCCGAGGGCGGGCGGCTGCAGCGCATCCCCCGGCGAGACT